CTCTCATGCGTGGTTACAGTGTTTTAGTTGTTTTCCGGCTGTTTGAGGAATAGTACTGTGTATAAGTTATGGAAATTGTGCACATGAACATGTTCGTTTGACAGAAGCTGTTGTTTTCACTTCATTTGTTGGCTGCCATTATTGTTGCTAGCTCAATTTGTTAATTTAAAAGTAGAAATCTGGAAAAAAACAATGTCTTTCACATTCATGTTTATGGAATGCAGCAGTCTACGAGTAAATCTGGTGAGGAGAGCACTGTCAAATTTGATACTAGTAAGGCTTTCGGTGGTAACATTAAACCTTGAGAATTTAGAACCTAGGTTGAAGTTGAAAAAGACTTGAAGCTTTTTGAGAAGATGAATATGCAATCTGTGTGTCTGTTGTCAGTTAAAAAGTCATATATTGTGGAAGAACCTAAATTAAACAAGGATGAGAAACAAATGGAGTATGAATACGTGATGTTTGCATGTTTTTGTGAGCAAAAAGAAATCGGAAGGCAATCAGAAACCTCAAAGATTAAGTGTCACCCATGGTTGTTAATGTCTAGTGTACTAGATCCAAATACATGAACTACAACTGTCTGTAGTTAAGCCAATGTTATCGGCCATTCAATATGCCTCAAACCAATTTAAAAAGGGGATAACATATGTATGCGTCGGTGGCACAGTGGTTACAACTCTCGCCGACCTTGCACGTGGTCTGGGGTTCGAGCCCTCGCCGGCGCACGCCTGATATCTATGGTCGGCCTGCGAATTTTAGGCTACCGATATCCACGCTGAAAATTCCATACTTGTACCAAAAAAACACAGTGTGGAATCAAGCTGTAATAAAAAAAATTTAAATCAAATGATGGTCTGGTGAGTGTACGAATTATCTTAATTAAGGACTAAACTTTAATTTACGGGAATAGCGATTCGGATTGTGGTCCAAAATCGATGGCCTTTATGATGTTACGACAAGCTAAGAAGCTGATTATCATTACTTGCCACTTAGATTATTTTGACTACATCACACAAAGCATTGATAATGGGCGTTCGGTAACAACATTGTTTCTTGACGTTAGCAAGGCCTTTGATAAAGTCCCACATATCAGACTCCTAACAAAACTCCAATCCTACGGAATAACCGGAAATCTTCACAAATGGATAAGTTCTTTTCTCACAGAAAGAGAGCAATTAGTCAAAATCAACCACCAGTTGTCTTCCTCAAAGCCGATAACCAGTGGTGTAATACAAGGTAGTGTTCTTGGCCCTATTCTATTCCTCTTATTTATAAATGACATAGTCTCTGTAATCAAGTATGGCAAGCCATACCTTTTTGCAGATGATCTCAAGATAGTATATGATTATGGGTACGGTGATATGAGCGTCGAAAGCAAGATCCAACAAGACTTAAATGATCTAGGCGATTGGAGCGAAAAGTGGCAACTGACTTTCAACCCAGACAAGTGCGGTATAACCCACCTTGGACGCTGGAAACCGATAATGTGCCTATACATGTACGGTAAGCTCCTGTCAAAACTGAACACAGTCACAGACCTCGGGATAACATACTCAGATTTATCCTTTTCCGATCACGCAAATAAGGTTGTATCTGACTGTAAACGACTTACTGGCTTTGTACTGCGTAACTTCTACACCCAAGAAGCAAGATTAGCTATATATAGGACATGTATCCGTCCCAAACTTGAATATTGTGCTCTCCTATTTAGTAACCTCAGGACTGTAGACAGAAAAAAAATCGAAAGTGTCCAGAGATTCCTCACGAAACGCATAATAGGGTTCGACCAACAAGTGGAATATGTTGACAGGTGTGTACGTCTGAAATTAGAGCCTCTGTGGTTAAGGAGAGTGAAGTGCAACCTATTTCTACTCTTCAAAGTCATTAGGAAACACTGCTACAGTAACTCATCCATAACTTGGGAAAATATTAAATCATATCAGCTGCGAAACCACGACTACCTTGTCAAGGTGGCTACCCACAGAAAATCCATTAGGGCAAACTTTTTCACCATAAAATATTGCACTCTTTGGAACCAACTACCACCTGAAATAAGATGTTGTGAAAACCCTGATGGGTTCAAACGGAGCCTAGAAAGACACTTTAACATGTCCACCCTAGCTCGTCTAAAAGACCACAACTGTTGGTAGAACGGAAATTGAAGGCCAGTCCAGTCTTCAGTATAGTCACATACGTATATCTCGACTCTAATACTCACGCAGCGAACGTTAACTAATTTACTGATTTCTATTCTCTATAATTTTCACTAAGTTGTGTTGGTGAAAGTAACACTGGAAATAATTGTAATAGCATCCACACCTTTTAACGTTTTACATATGTATATACTAATATAACAATACTTATTAATCATGCATGTTCAACTCTTAAATTAGATGGATATTAAAATACTTAAAATATTTATGCATCAAATGTTCTCTTGCTTTACCACGCTTGTTTCCCTTATAACACTCAATTATTGAACCTAGTGTAATATTTGATATACGAACTATATTATTGATTATACTCTTATCATATATGGTTTGATTTACTCTACGGCTCCCTGTAGACTAACCACCATTCTTCAGTATACACACACTGCAGTATTGTTAAAAAACGCCAAAATTTCGTTGGTTCTGTGTTAATATCTTTTTATAATATGTCTAGACACGTTACTTTGCAATGTCAGATGTTTACTATATATAAGACTGTCATGAAAATTTAGTACACTAAGTCCTGCCAACCGACCTTACCTTCAGTCCATACTACCTAAATTGAACCTTAACTATAGTATTCTGCTAAATCTTGCTCCACTATTCACAATACCTATTCGTTTTACTCTTTAAGGTTTTAACTTCTTATAAAGTAATCTGTTCATCAGGATGCATGCACACATATATAATATGTTCGTAAAGATGTACGTGGAGACCTATTGGAAGCACTCATTAAGAAAGCTAGGGAGATGGAATATGGGGTACGAACATGTCTGGTACCAAGCAATATATTTGCGGTAGCCATAATAATCATAGTCTCAGAGCTTAACATCAAAAAAGGAGGGAGGGTGGCGTTAGCTGATCAGTAGATATGGTGGTGGTCACTAAGGTGAATCGCCCCATTCTGCAGGAACAGCAATATACAAATTAAAGGCTCGAGATATTTCTGATTTTTATGAGGGCTTAGATCTTTATCTTGAAAAAGATAATAGTGAACGCCTTGACAGATAATGCTTCTACCTTTAAATATATACCATTCGCTCAGCCTATTGTTGAGATGCGACCACGTGGGATCTGCACAGATTTATGGGGCATCTTATGAATTAACTTGCTATCCATTGTCAGATCTTTAAATACCACTTCACAATATCTTGTCTCACTTATTTTCTAATAACGTCTTTACTTGATTCTCATTATATTCCATTAAACCTAACATTTTATAGCTCTTTATGAATTTGATTCGACTTATTCTATTCCTATTCTCTGGAGGGTACGGTTGTGCACCAAATAGAAAAAAAGACATGAAATAAAGACAACTGGCTTGAAAATAATTGTATTAAAGCCAAAAGTGAACGCATGATAGTATAAAATATATTGGTTTCATTATACATTGCAAATGAACGTTGTCGGCCTAAGGATTAATTACTTCCCCATTCTGTTTTCTATATAAATGTGTTTATTAATGATATATTTCACTCACTTAATCTATTACACTTTAATGTTACACCACAGCACTTTAATTTTTCTAAAACAGCTTCCAATTCCTTGTAAACGTTGTACTTACCTCAATATTGGTTGATTATCGTATGCCTACAACCACGGGATGAAAACGAAACGAAGTCGATTTTCCCGCTCAACCTGGAGGACAATTGTACAATTCAATAACTATACAGCCTAGTTCAGACAATGTGTATTTATATATATATCAAATATTTAACTGTTGAAACATTATTAACTTGTAGACAATTTAAGATTTGACATTATATCATCCTTGATCGTGCCTGTAAAAATGGCATGCATTTTCATGTAAATTTATGTTTATATGAAAATAAATTATTATTATTATTATTATTATTATAATAATACTATACACTGAATTAATATACCAAGTGAAACAGTGAGGAGAATTAAACGTGTAATTAACTTCTCCACTCAGTGAGCCTGCAGCAAACATGACATCCGCCTACATATGTCAGACTAGCAGTCGGCTGGGCACAAAATGGCACAATATTAATAAAATTGAGATATCTTTATACATTCATTCCACATAACCCATATTTCACTGCAACAGTCAGTGCAAATATATATTAAATACACTTACAATTAACCTCTCAACTTATGATCGATAATTGCAGTCCAAACACATACGGTGAAAGACACATCTACATGATAACTTCTGTTTGCACTTACAGGTGATCTCCATGTACTGATAGCATTCACTTTCCAAATAGTACTGTTATTTACACGAAAACAGCTACTTCAGTATCGTGAGACGTGAAGTCTTCATTGAATGATACTATTCCGAAAGGTGAAGCTCCTGCATAAAGTAGACTATTTGTGTTAGTGAAATCACCCTCCGACTATACTATCATGCTCATGATGGAAATATTTCGACACAGTTCACCTGAAACACTAATCATTGCAACCAATATGATATGAGTGTGTCGCAGTCAGATCATATGACGCGGACACCATTACTAGTCAGCAAATGAGAATTCCCATCAATCCAGAAAACATATAACGCAAATTTATTAAAACGTATTGACAAACAACTTCTTTGAAGCTAAGTTTCAACCAACGCGACGTATAAGTCCAGTCCAACTTTTTCATTTAATATATTGGACATATGTTTACCCCGCCATATTCACTTCCTGTGTGTCAAGGCCACAGGATATGGTTTTGTTTGCATCGTCGGACCACATGAATAGTTATTTAGTAATATCTCCTTAACTGAAGGTATAATGAAAGCTTATTCAAAAACATAATCAGTTGCAAACGATTATTATTAGCATGGGTAATTAAATGTATTTTCTAAACGCATTTCTCCTAGATGGTTGTCTAGAACGAATACCATTTGTTTCATTAATCGCTCTACTTTTGGTGGTGTGTGGATCGGGGATCATGTGTGGCACAAATTTTGAGGCTCTTAAACGTATCGACGATTTCTTTGAAGATAGATTTTATCCAATTGATGAGTAAGATTGCAATGTTTAGAAGTCGTTTTCAAGTGTTTAATGTGGTGTTATATCTTTCTTTGATAGCTTGACAGATTAAATGACTTCAAGAGCACTTTTACTAGTATACGAAACCAACAAGTAGATAAATTAAGCAGGTTGTTGAAAAACAAATGGTTACAGGTTCATAGTGGCCATATGGTAAATTCCTCTTCCCTTCCAAAATACTAACAACCACGTGCAAAACTAAAGGTCTCTAGTGCATAATGGTTTCTGGATTTACTATGGGAAATTAGCAGATGCTACGTGTTATATTGGAACCTTTGTAGGTGTCGGGTGTCTTAACGTTTTCTGCGACACATGATTTATATATATATATATATATATATATACCATTAGTAAATCAGGTTATTTTTCTGTCTGCAGGCCTCAAGTCTTCCGAACATTGGGTATCATGGTTTGTGTTCTAACAATGGTCCTCAGCATTGCCAGTGTCATTGTAGGAACAGTAACAACGGGCGACACACGTTCTAAAGTCTATTCCGATAAACACTGTGTTATGTGCGGTCATCGTTCGTCGCGTCTTGTAAGTCTATTTGATTATTGGTATAATTGATGTCACTTTACGCTGTTTCCCGCATAGTTTGTTTCTACATATGACAGGAGTTTTGTTACAGTTAAATTTTACATTACTGATATATTCATTTAACTTGGTTTTGTAGTGTAATTTTACTCAAAATAAGTTGGTTTTAATTTAGCTGTTAGATACTTCTGTTTCAGTGAAGCAAAAGGACTCGTTTAGACATTTAGGGGATAAAAGGATTGAGCCAAAAAATATGTACTATTAGACTTATCCACGGTTTCGTTCATCTATATATATATATATATATATATATATATATATATATTCGTCAATAAAAATATATTGGAATACAAACTTTTAGTCCTGGTTTTATGTTAAAAATGTTTTCAGAGCGGTTCATGTATTCATTCTTATATTTTCCTGTGATTCGTTAAGAGGTGGTTTTGCGGAGTTTGCACCTGTCTATACATCTCAACTTCCTCGGTGTCAGATAGATTATGTGACAGATTTGAAGTGTTTAAGATTCGCCCCGAAGTCAAAATCAGTGACTATCGTGCTGCAGCTTTCCCATTCTTGTCGTGAATGATAAAAAGTGACGGATACTTTTGAATGGGCTTCATTAGAATGCAAATGCATGTATATTTTTATATTGTTCTATTAATTTTTACGGGATGTTTGTCGGTTTCATGACGTACCACTATTGCGTATAGCTAAGTAAGTAAATACTCTAGTTTTACGGTGTAAAAAAATTATTTATCTGTTTACTTTTCTCAGTCATATTTTATTTGACGTTTCTCTGTTTCTTTTCTGAATTACATTTACAGTTGTTACTTCTGGCTTATTCAGCCACATTGGTTTGGCTTTTTCTTTTCATTGCTTTGGCTGTACCGGTTTTTCTTTGGGCAATGATACACGTGGTTTGCAGAGAAGAGACAGATTACTGGCGAAATATTAGTGCTGATAAAGACGAAAGAGAATTTACCTATACATTCAACCTCACTCATTATGGTATGTCTTTTGTTTTAAGGGTTTTCTCAGTTGTTCACAAATACTTTTCCATTCTCTACATTTATCAAAGCGTACTCAGTAGCCGGGATCAGGAATGCATTAGTAGGTATAATGTTGGTATAAAGGTCCAGTTAGGAAGTGTCAAATACTCAGGGTGGAATTAAAGTAAGTCTGATGTCGATTGCATCACAAGCATTGACAACAGTTTGAAAAGGTAATTCATGTATACATGAAATGTTGATCAGTCTTTCTTTGTCTAACCTGAGACAGACGATTATCAAGTACTGATGAAGTTATTGTTTACCTAGTTATACCTACTAGTTCATTTTAATTCATACTTTACACTAGATAATGTAATATGCCGCCCATGTATTCATAACTGTAGAGCTGTAAAATTGTTATTATAAGCAGTTATTCGTCCTAATTACTCTTCCTTTGAATAATTTTCACGGGTGTTTAGAACTTGCATACACGGAGCGTTCAATCATTAGTGTGAGGTATTCATAGAATATTACTAGTATTTTTTCCGTGAGAATTCCACAACTATATTCTCTTTTATATTGGTGAATAATTACAGTCGTCACTGTATTCCATTAACGTACATCAAGTGTTTCAAATCATTTTAGTTGATATAGACCGTTACAATAAGTTGTTGTAATATTTTATTACAAATGGCAAGTGATATTGCTTTTAAAATATTTTTTAGGCCTTTATCGCCGACCATTGGATACTAGCTTATGGAATGAATACGTGAATTCACCAAGTGCATTTACGCAACTTTGTCAAGAGGTGAGTCCCATAGGTAGATGTCGTTACCTCCTTCTCATTTAGTTATAATTACATGATAATGTTAAATTATTATTTTAGAGTTTTTCTATGGTTTGGTTTGTAAGGGTTAGTTATGTTTTTACGAGTTGATCACGGATTGAGTCGTTAAATAGTTATCTATTAAAAATAATTGTTATGGAGTTAGCTATCATCAATGAAGACACTTGGCTTCCGATCATTAAATCACAAGTCAGATAGATAGGTTTACGTAGAACATTCCAAAGGAGTACATCGCTGTGAGTTGTTGCATTTCAGAATATATGAAAAACATGAGAAAAGAGACAAAAGCCACATCACTTTGTCAGGAAGCAGACTCTTATCCCAAAAGTTTCTTTCTTAGCGTAGAGTAGTGTGGGACTGACATCTATGCTGTACCTTCGTTAGATACTGTGTAACCATCAATGGTGATACATGTTTCGAAGCTCTGGTAGACATTTAACAGTCTCATGGAGACCAATCAGTTCATATTAACTGATACGTTCCTTCAAATGTATCGAATAGCAATGCATTCACCCATGTTTTTACACATTCTTAAATGAGTTAGTTAGGCGTAAAAAGTATGCTAATTTTTTGTTCTTTGACTTCAAAATATATATCTTTTCTCGTTAGTTATCCTCCATTCACTGAATTTGTAAAATTTTAGTCATAGAGTCTAACTGATGCTTGTAAATATTATACTACAGTCTGGTAGTAAGACAACATTTCATCTTCCTACGAAAAACCATTTCTAGTTTTGCCTACTTTGCAATATTGTAACTTTTATGTATCAATTTTAGATTTCTACTATTGGACCACTATTTGCAAGTGCTTTGATCGCATCCTTCTTGGTTATTCTAGGTTTGGTGAGTTGCACCGCATTCCGATCTTTAATTTTATGGTTGTAATTCGAATGGCTTTTTTTACTTTTTGACGTCTTGTTTAATTTATTACGTTGTTTCTTATTCATTTGTTTGTGTCACCAAAGATGTGGGAAAAGCAGATTTTTTTATATCCATGCTCCTTGTTAACACCAGTTAATCTGGACTTCCAGTTGGGCTGTCTTATTTCGACAGTTGTAACTTTTCTGTATTAATAAGAACGGCTTTGTCATTGAGCACAAATTTACGGAAACAGCATTTGACGCCTAATGTGAAGTGGAGAACTAATGAATTATAAACATTTGTTAGTAGGTAGGACATCCGCTGTTATAAAAGAGGTTGGAAATAAACAGTTGTGGATTACCTAGATCCAGCCGCTCAGGAGGTACAGAATCGGATTCAGGCCGACGCACTTCTAAACCTCACCTTGTTTACTAGGTAGTAGCAAGATCAGGAAAAAGAAGGAAGGGTGGTGTAATGGTAGCTGATTGACCCTATAAATAACCACCGCTTGAAGATATATTTCGCTCGGTACTTAAGGAATTATAAATGTTCAGTTTGATCATGTTGGGCGTAGAGTGGTAGGTAAGTGAAGAAAGCCGATCTATGATATTGTAAAGCCAAGTCGATTGAGATATCATGTGTTGCGCATTTCGAGCCACCGCGTTCCTCAAGGAGCAATGTTAGGAAGCATAGAATTAAGTCGGAAAGTAAGTAGGCATGATCAAATCAAAGTATGGTGTTATCCCATGAAGTCATTGACAGTTAGTTTGAAACACAGGGAGGTATAGATTGCCCAATTGGGGATGGCAGTAATCAATGGCTGGAGACGGTTTGTGGTATGGCTCGGAATCGTTCTCCGCAGTGCATATGCATTCGTTGTCTGTAATCAATCAGATCCACTAAATCCTTATGGTTTTCCATGTTAATACTGATTCTCTACTACATTTCTGCTCAGTATAGTTCTCTTTAATTCCTTATTCTTTCTTATCTCTACCTTTGTGTGCTAAATGGAGTGAGGCGAATTACACTTCTGTGTGCTGAAGACTGAGTCAATCAGTATCATGTTACATTGGATCTCCAGGCACTAACCTGTAGTACGTCTTAGGTTGCAGTTACGTAGTCTACATTTTGCACATTGCTTAGGACAACCGGTAGTGACTTCTTCTTTTGATCCTAAACCTCGGTGTAGCAAACAGAGTTGTTTTAATTGGGTTCCCTTATAGCTAGTAGCGCACATGAAAGAAATCCTCATAACTTCACTTAGTGTCCGTGTTCAGAATCACACCTAATCATAACAGTCAACCTCTGTCGCTGTCAGAGTACATGGGGAAACTTGTTTAAATCCTCGGAACTTTATCAGGTATCCTACTACAGTTGGACGTTCTGCAGTGACAGGGTGAGATGAGGCGAACTAGTGTGGAACATATTTAATTTTTGATAGATGGTCAGGTATATTTACAAAATATGTGGTGAAAACAGGTAACACTAATGGAGTCCTCTGTATTCGTGGGAAGAATTAATTGGTGATCTTTGTTTCAGAGATTATTGTGTCTAATACAAGGAGCACCTCTATCGCGTTCATTTCAGCTAGGCAACTAATTAGAACTAATTAATTAAAGTTCTGCTCACTGTGTTCACATGATGAGGATTGTCCCTTCAGAAGCGAGAGAAAGAGTGTGAATGCTCGACGCTAATCATGGGATTGGCTAGGGAGGGCTCGTCTAGGATGGTTGAGTAATCTTAGTGTTAGACAAATAGTGTCTATGTGTTCCAGGATCTGATGAGAATAGTAGTGTAGGCGTCTATTTCACTTAGTGGCAAACATGAGATTGGAGCTCCCTACGTTGTTCTGCTACCCTGTAGGCCGGACTTTAAGTGAAGTATTCGGGGAGTAATTGCTTGAGACAGCTATGTGCTCCTAAGAAAATGTGGTACATTTCTTAGTAGTCATGATTGCTATTCACTAATGTCACTCTTATATGTGCCCTTTGTACTTGCTGAGTTTTCTCCCACCCTCCAAATTGTTAAGTCGATACTCAACTGTCTGACTTTTTATAGATTAACAGCTTTCACTTTGTCAAATTTCAAACTCTTTGAGTGTTCTGTTTACTATGTAATTTAATAACTGTAGAAACTATTTTGGACTACTTGTATCAATCATATCACCCCGTATTATTCAATACACTACCATACCTTTCTGGTAAATATAAGCACGATTGTAAAATCTTTGAAGATGATTTCGTCAATGAAGAAAATTTTCTTCACTGAATTGCCTTTTATTATATTTCATGCCTGAATAGGTATTTTTGGCCAGTTGCTATTAAATATATTAGGCATTAGTGCTGGTTAGTTGTTGGGAATCCTTCCAAACTGGGGTGTGAAACACATGTTATATTTTGTGTTTTCTGTTGAATGTGTTTAGTGTCTTACGAGTAGTTTCCTGAAAACATTCACATATACAATATGCAGGAATAGTTTCTTTGGACATGGTCACTGTGCCGAATAAGCTAATTTCGTATTACCTTTAAATAATAATTTTTTCTCTGATTATCTCATCCTTAGCTCCTGAATTACATGTAGTTACATTTTGTTTTTAGAATATATTCATCGCGTGTTTATCTACAGTTCCGGAACGACTGCAGTATTTCTTTGAAATTGATCGCTATCGGAAACTAGTGAACTCATCGCCTCAAACAGATCCAACGTGCTTGGAAGAATATTCCCTTCAACCTTTGTTACAACAACCACAATCTATTCATTCCATTGGTTCATGTATTAAATCGAATACACTGCATTTCCCTCCGGACAACATGGATATGATACACCCTTTCATGAATTCAACACCATCTGGCATGCGTCTTATATCGAATCCAAACATATATAACGATTCACAAATCTCTCAACAATTCTATTCTCACAAACCTTTAAGGCACTCTACTTACTCGCATCAGTCAGCTAATTTGAGTAACAATTACTAAATCGAATAAATATGCACTCTTTAGTCGTCTCAATGTAAGGCAAATGATCCTCCTGGAAAACATTGCTTATATATCGCATGCTCACGTCTATCCGGTCTCGTGTTTGCCTTTATTCAGTCCTTAATACATTTCTAGAATTCCATTTTGTTATCCTCAGGTTTTACCTGCATTCCATGTTTGTTTTTTACTCTTGTATATATAAATGTGCATTGTATAACTTGTTATTTTCTCATTATTTTTACTTAATATGCATTTATTATTCCCTTATATTTGACGTAAATCGTGTAACTCATGTGTGACATCATCGTTTATGTTCCCAAACCTTAACGTTGTCTTTTCGTGATGCTTTTTTCAGGAACTGTATTTCGATTTATTTTGTGCACTTTGTTTTATTAGCTACCTATTAAGCCATCGTTGTGGATTACAAATGCACTGATATTTTACTTGTCTGAAATATATATATATCAGCTTTCCATTATTATTACTGATTTCTGACGGGACCCTCAAATCTCTTGTAACACAATACTTTCAAAAAAAATGAAATTCAGCTTTGATCCTCACATTCCAATATGGGCTGGAACTCCATCATAACTTCGGAGTCGGCATCTTTATCACATATGATGGAGATATCATCTATGTATCTTCTTCCACATGAAGTACTCAGTAGTGGGTTGGAACACTTTATTTTCTAGATTTGCTATGAAGTAGTCTGCAAGTAGAGAACCTAATGGTAAGTCTGTTGACACTCCCTTTATGTTAGTACACTGTCATTGGACCTGACACTACAAGTACACATCAGTAGTAGTTCTTTTAAGAGGTGGGTCGAAGCATACACTTCCAAGTTGCTATCGTCCTTAAGTTAGCATAGAAAGTGAATTTTCGGTTAGAGAAGGGGGTGTTGCCGGATAATTAATGGCTTGAACTTACCATTCATAAAGCCTGACTTTGACGTTGGGTATTCGAGGCTCGAATAATAAAGAAATATGAGCATCACCACACATGAGACGTAGGTCCAGGGAGCTGAAGAGGCAGTTGTATCGTGATTCGAAAGTGGAAGATTGATAACTCCCTCAATTGACTTAACTAAGAGTTAGCGCTTGAAGTCTAAGCCCCCTGTCATTGGCCCCACGGAACACTTACAATGATAGAGACAGTATTGGTCGGAAGTTTGCATTTGTTGACCATTTTTCGCTGCCATAAAGTAGGACATAGTGCACTGGTGTATAATGCACTCAACTTTGCTCTTTTGAACATTTCCTTAGCTACCAATTCACCATAAACAATGCGACTTTGAAAGTAAGCTGATCGATGCAATCAAACACTTCATTCTGCACAGCCGAAAAGTATACGAACGCAAATCAGCTGTAAAGCGAAGTGACAAACGCGTTTGTTTTAGAGGAAGATACTTCAATGAGACTTCTTGATCGGTTAATTTTAAATTCACTTTCAAGTCAAGAGATACAGCTAGTGTCAGCCACATTCATGAATCTGCTATATAAATTCAGAAAAATAGACAATTTTCTCATATTTGTAGTTTCCGAATTCCACTGATTGATGCGTTGTTTGACTGGGATTTTAGGAGTTATGTTGGTAGAGCTGATCTGGTTGTCAGAAGTGTTTGCTCCTTACTAAAAGACAGACAATCAGTGGTTAAGATTAGTTTGAGGAATTCGTGCAACTCTGTTGACTGAGATCAGTTAAGAATCCAAAAGCACTTCCAACTTCTTGATAAATACAAACGTCCTCAAATATACGCTAGACCTACGTCTACTTGATGCTTGATTAAAAGGTGAATTTTATCACCGACCGATATCGCTTACAGAACTACTGTTAATCAGCGAGCGTTAGACAGATGTTCCACCTTAGGTTGGAACCGTTTAGTGGTGTGCACGCATTACCCCGTCAGATATTAAACCTAGGTTTCAAGATATGTAGATTACCACCCAGCTACTGAGTTGAATTCAATTTGCAGCATAGCGATTATCTCAATCAGTGATATCGTCCTGCCAAAGTCACAAACTGAGACGAAGTAGCTGTTCATTGCTCTGCTTTTCGATAGCTTTCTCTCTGATACGTGCTTGTGGCGGAATCCACTTAGTGCTCAAAAGAATCTACTTTATTTGGTCATTGCGAACACACGTCTACATATTAGGTCAAGGTAGTACTTCTTGGTCGAGGGAGTCTTGCGGCAGTAGGAGATGTCTGGCTATTTCAAAGTCTGGAGGGGAAAATTTCCTGAAATCTTTCCAAAGATATGGATAGATAATCTCCATACTTTGGAGTTTTGATCAATCTTACTCCCCGTAAGCAAATCAAATTTAACATTTTTGGTATACAAACTGTACAATGAGGATAATAAGACAAATGATTCGGAATTGCTTTTCTTTTATACCGTCATTACTAATGCCTTGGCCTAATTTTATTAATCAGACAACTTAGAAATACATTTAATTAAGAAATATATTGACACTCAAATTAATCTTTACAAGTTGGATATATAGCGAAATGAAAAATATATCAATGACAGTATTTTTGCCAGCCATCGACTTTACATGCTTCACACTATATGGATGGAACCCACAGATCAGTATTACTTTTTACCACCAGATACTCACAATACAAGGGTTTTAATCAGGAAAAAATGATTAAAACAGGAAGTTAAGTTAGAAAACAACTAAAAGTGCAAACACACAATAAACTAAGGCACAAGGATATGCAACAAGAATGCGTTGGTTTTGCATATCGAGAGTACGAACAAATAACTTGCTGGATGCGACTGTACACCAGAAAACAACCGCTATTGTTATCACAGCGCCTAATACTGACCTAGAATAGAAGGAACAGAAAACGAATTTAAAACAAGATTAATTATCTAATGGTAATATCAATAACCATATCTTGTACTCTGAAAATACCATCCTCAGAGTTGTCAGTGGACTGGTAATAAACAACAAAGTATCGCAAACTTTGGACATAAAGAAAATTAATTAGAGAATACGATGCAGAAAGTGTGGATAATAAATCCCTACAAAACCTGTACTTGAAAATTAATTTGATGCTCACTAGCGACTGGCCCTATTCAGGCAATGACCTGGGGTTCTAATGAGAAACCGTAACCAGTAGGCTACAGCAGGTTGAAGATCAGGCAGTAACTCATCGAAGAAGACATTACGAAATGGTTGCGCTATGTCGTGAATTGGCAGAAGTTAGAATTCATGGGCCATTGGATCGCGTCCCAGTGTCTCAATGGTCTACAAGCTCACCTTGTAACCGGACGGTCCTGGGCTCGAACACCGGTGGGTGCGTACTGTGAAGAGTCCCAAACTAGGCTGACGAAATAGCTGTCCAGTACTCCCAGGTTTTCCAATGGTTCTCTAACTGATGTCAGCTTATTATGAAATCCTCCATCCAATAAATTCTTAGGCGGCCCACTTGAATCATTGGGCTACCGAAAGTGCTTTCGACAAAAATGCTTAATTTCATCTGAATTTGTCATTGTTTTAATCATCCAGTTATATCAAATAACCTATATAAGAAATTGTACGCTGATTTAACTTGCCACCGAGTAAACACTGTGCAACTCTTCACTGAAATGAGGATATATTTCAGATTATTACTTCACATGCAAATCCTGTATTGAAGGAAAAAGGAAATACGCTGAAACTTTTTGTACCATATGTTAGCATACTGTCTCAAATAAAGTTTTATTATTATTTTCTATAGTTCGTTTGCAAGGATTAGTTTTGTTTTTACGAGTTATTAAAAAGAAAAATAACAATATCGAGTGCTGTAGGTCAATCAGAAAAGGTTGAGTTCACGCTACACCATGAGTTTTTACCAACTGAAGAGAAACAGATTACGAAGTTAATTAAATAAAAAGTGGAGAAAGTTAAAGTAAGCAAACAAAAGTAGACATATTTTATTGCTTGTGATGCAAACCTCCCTACATTAGTAGCTCGAAAAGTTACTACTTTATAAGTATGCTACCGGAGATTCTCGTTATGAAGTGTTTTGCATATTACAGGTTTACAACTTCACGACTTTTACTTGAAAGTGAATTCTGCTGAGAAAATTAATTCAGCAAGTCATGTGACACTACGATAAATATAGCCTCTTTAAAATGTTGCGCTGAAGAAACAATTTGCTAGTGTGGTGAGAGCAGGCTGCTAGCCAAATTGGTAGACATTAATTTACGTCAACGTTTATGTCCCAAATATTGGTCGTGAGAAAATATGAACAAAGACTGGTTCAACAACCAACCACAGCAGACTTTGCGTAGGCAGATACAATTGACATATAGATGATCTGACATTCAAGAAACAGTCACAAAGCGATGCAAGATCAACTTTCTGTGAGAAACAACCAATCAGAAGACTATTTGTTTGCTTGAATAAGCTATAATAATATACATGAAAATATATAAATACGTGTTGATTTCCTTAATAAACGATCTGTCGCCTGGCCTTTGTCTTCTGTTGTTACACTAGGAGTACTGATGACAAGAGTTTCATATACTTATAAAAAGACAAAAATTCACATGAATACAAACAGAAAACAAGTCTTACTTGAGAGAGATGACAATACCGATTGATGAAAGTAGGCACATAGGAAGTAGACAATATCCTAAAGTTGAAACTACACAAGTCGGAGTAACTCCTCTTGGTGTCATAAGTGTCAGCAACAGATATATTCCTACACAACCAAATACTCCTAATCCATAGATGTAATTGAAATGGATCTTTCCAGCCTACAAAGGGATTCCCCCAAAATCGATAAGAAAAAGAAAAATGTAAACTGTATCAAGTAAATTATTATACAAGCGAGGAATACTTATAATAATCTAATTAGTAACACGAAAACTTACGAATAGTAAAGTGCAACCAAAGAGCAAACAGAAAACCAAAGGTCCAGCTAAGTCCGTATCATCCAAAACTTCTTGAGAACTTTCCTTAAAAGGTAGTAGGACAGATGATGTCTGAAAAGGGATTAAGAATTATGAAAATTATAATATGTACCGATAACATAATCGTACCCGAATCATACACAACATAAAAAATTGGGAATTACATTTTCAAGCGAAAACTGAATCACTTGCAGTGTTTACAGAAACACACATATTGATTGTAACCAGAGAAGGATCACCACTACAAAGTACTGTGGACTTATAAATCTGATACTAAACAACTGTGTTAAATGTAAAATTTCTTGCCGGGATTATGAAGCTGAGGTAACTCTACTGCACAATCGAATCTTACTATGCTATAAACTGACAGTAAAGCCGATGGAGAATACATTGGTAACTTTACTATGAAATTGAGGAGCAGACAGACTACTAGAAAAACATTATGCAGTGTCAACAGAACTAAACAGAGGCAATGTTAATTACTAGATAGCCAACTCTACAGTGAGACGGTAGTGTCCTGAATGTAGCAGAAGTAGTAATATTACTGAGTCTGCCTGTTTTCGACATAGAACTTAGCACCGATTTGCGGTAGTTCAAGTCGCCACACTCCATGTAGCACACAAAGCAAGAGAAGAAAGTAGAAGAAATGCATAATAGAGACAGTAAGCAGAGGTGCGAGACAAAGGAGGAGTAATAATGGAGAACAAAACAGTTTCATTGGAAATCATAAGTTGCAGGGAGTAGATGCATCTGCAGCATTGAGAACGACTTTGAGCCATATCACCGATTGTCTCCAGCCATTGGTTTCTACCATCCTGAGGACTCCAACCAGGAAGTCCACGCCTTCCTATGTGGCTTAAACTAACTGTTATGGATTTCATTGACTGGTGCCGTGTTTTGGTTTGACCGCCACTAGCTCTCTTCCAGCCTAACCCTGTGTCCGCTAACATTGCCCGTCGAGGAATGGCTAGGCATACGTAACACCTGTCCCAACCATCTCCGTCGATGTAGCTTCATAGCCTCGTCAATTGATTTCCCCTCCTTGCCTAGCAATTGACGCCTAACCTCAATATTGGTTAACCTACTATGCCACTTCACACGGGAGATGGAGGCACCTATGATCAAAGACAACTAGTCTTTTCATATCTTCCATTCTCAATGGCTAGGTCTCACAGCCATAAAGGAGGACGGAGCGGACTGCTGAGCAGTACCACACGCCATTTGGTTGATAGCCGGATATCACGTCTACGCCAGAGACGGCGTAAACTGGCATATGCGAAACAGAGGGCTAGTTTTTCATATGTCAGTTACTAATAATAAGTACGAAACTTAGCCTCGAGTTTCAGAAGGGACGTGCGTCTTCTCATGATTATAAACACCCTTTATTAATGCATTAAAACAAATATGATGTCAAATCTACAGTTTCAGATCTGTTGGTAGCTGATATCAGTTAAATAATTTAATGAACACATAACAGTGAACACCTTAAGTATGTAGAAATTCAGTCGAACATTTATGCAAAATTAAAAAAAAAACAAATGCGTACGCAAAATTTGCTTACTTTTTGAACAATATGACTAAAATTGATGCCAAGTTCTAAAAACAAACAAAAATAATTTCATAATATTATTACCAAACAGAATAATGTACTTAAGTCTCAAACTTTTTAGTGATTTAGAGGTCAGTATTTACCAAACATTGACGTCAGGTCATAATCTTCCATGGGAGTGGCAATGAAAAAATTTTTGCAGCTTATAGAATTAATACACTGTAACACTGCAAGTTCTGAGAGCTAAACAGGCAGATGCTGAATTCGAATTCCAATCGAAAAGCCATGTGTTATCTACAACCTACTTTAAATAAACAGCTAGATAGATGTGTTGACATGATTTAGTATAAACACAACTATTACAAAAGTGGCTAGCAGTGGAATCCAGGATGCGCATTTCGTCCTAATTGGGACTCGTCAGCTGGATGTACCTGCATTTCTCAGTGAGTGATGATGTTCCCACCGAGGCTCGAACCCAGTACCCATAGTTTCAAACGCCAAAGCGTTATCCACTAGACCACTTGGGCAGAAGATTAAAATAAGCCGTAATCTTTCTCACCCCGACCCTCCAACATTCATGAGATTAATTGCATACATAATCTTAAATGTTTTAAAAGTGACATAAATCAAGACAAGAAAGCCTAGAGTTATTTAAAGGAACATCGATATGCAACTATTCATAATTGTGTCGAATCTGGGCCTACAAAATACCATTTCTTGCGCAAAGCATCGATTACCATTATTATGAAAATCACCTCTTAAGAACATATACATTAAGAAGTGCACACTTTACAATTTAAAATGACCACAGCATAAGTATTTTTACACGAGAATAACAAAATGATCATGTGAATATTCTAATTAAAAGTGATATACAAAGCAGAATTTAATTAATTTGCATTAGCATTTGCAGCCTTATTGCATTTATTTCGATTGCGATCTGTATGTTCCAGATTGCAGCGGAAAAAAAATATCCCATTAGATGAGTACATGAAGAGGAGTTAAGTCTGGATTTTTAACTTCTCACAACAACTGATTAGTCAAGGAGCCTGGAAAGTCAGTTTGAAAACAATTAGCCACCTTGTGATGAATAATACTGTGCACTATGATTGTTCTAGTACTAAGTTAGATGCATTTTGCCTTATCTTTATTTCATTCAGTTGTTATATTGTATGAATCGAAATAAACTTGACAACAATTTTTAGTTTATTTGTAATCCACTTAAGTTTGTTTGACAGCTTTGCTTTTACAAATTTATCTTCTAGTATTACACTTCATATCAGAAACTGTAAGCGTTATTTTTAAAGCTTCATACTTTTAGAATTTAATTTGTGGATGGTGACTAGCAGTGGAATACAGGATGCGCAATTTGTCCTATTTGGGACTCGTCATCTGGATGTACCTGCATTTCCCAGTGAGTGATAATGTTCCCACCGAGGCTCGAACCCAGTACCGATAGTTTCAAACGCCAAAGTGTTATCCGCTAAACCACTTGGGCCACGGAAGTCACCTCTTGTGCAACGGGTCATATTAATTTAATTTGAGATTTTCCCGTCCCAAAATAGGACGAAATTCGCATCCTGGATTCCACTGCTGGTCATCACCCACAAATTAAATTCTTATTAAATGCCCAGACATCGTCGAAGCATCTGCACAAGAAGCCGACATGTCAACCTGAGACCGGTCCAATCAATCGACGGGAAAATCTTAAATTCAATTAAACTTCATACTTTTAATATTTACAAACTGATGTAAATGAAATGACTAGTCAACTTCTTGAAGCAGTCCATTTGATAAACTCAAATAAGACACTAAGGAAACAAATATCGAGATGTAATATCAAAAAAAAGTTTAACGTTTAACTAATAATATGAAATAAAAGGATACATTAATAACCAGTCATACATATTTCAGTAGGTTAAGTATTTCCACAGTAGACTAAGGCTTAAGTGTGTTATTTTTTAATACACAACTTAGAATACACCTGGTGAACAGTCATTTGATATTGGCTTTGTAACCAGACATTTATACGATTGTTTGGTGATGCATGATACTGGACTTCTAATCAGATTAAGTGCATTTGGATTACCTATGTAACTTAACAGACACACTCTTTCCGATATAAAGTTGGAACATTTAATTTGTTCACTGAAATGCTGCAGGTGAATTTGTAAGTTTACTGAGATACAATGGAGTGAACAACACTTTCATTTCAGCAGTTTTGTTCTCTTTCCCTTTATATATTCCCTTTTGGAATATTTGTTATTGTAAAATGTGTCCAAGTAATACGCTAATCTAATCGATGAAATGCGGTCGAGTTTTGAGGACAGAAAAAAAACGTCATGGTGTCACAACAAGGCAAAACAAGCCCTTGTCTAATCAAGAGATATCTTTATCGAACTAACAGTGAAGATTGATCAACTCATATAACTAATAGGTCAAAGGCTTCAGTCAGCTGGCAAGTACACCACATGCTATGCCACATCACTTTCACTAACCTGTCGAACATTTCCCCTATCCGTGTCACGAATAAAGGAGGAAATGCTACAGACTCAAGAACTTCATACAAATCCAGCACTATCCATTGCCATGAGATCATAGGTGTCTGCTTACAAACTCCATATCCATGATTGTTTATCAATTATTTCACATGGTTTTAATTCAAGTTTATTTAAGATGATGGAAGCACTTTGGATTAATCAAATGCATTCCAAATTATGTGAATGAAAACAATAGATTTCAACTTAAGTGTACTCTACACTATTTACCTTATTAAAATATGGAGCTAGTTAGTTAGTGTCCTTTTATTTCATATATTCAATAAATTCTAATATATATTTCGCCATGAATTGAAATTACTCAGAAAATCATTGAAAATCAATGGGAAGGGACGGCCATTTAGTCCTAGGCTTGATATTTTCACAGGGACAAATCTGTGATTCCACCTGGAATGGAACTCAAGACCATCACTTTACTAGGACAGTTCACTGAACATCCTATCACTCTGTCTGTCTGTCTGGATTCAACATAGAACTTGGCACCGAAGTGCAGCAGTTCGAGTTGCCACGTTCCAAATAGCACACAAAGGTAGACAAGAAGATGAGTGGAGAGAATTAATAGAGTTTCACAAGTATAAGAGTGAAACAGAATGGGTAATGGTAGAAAGGAATGTGAAAGATTAAAGAGACTGAATACATCATGTCACTGGTGTGAAGCTAAATAACACGTGAGTTCCAACTTCTGCGGTATACAATAACAATCAACCAACGTTGTCGATAAGCATTCGCTGCACACATGACACAATATACTGGCACAAACGGGTCACGATTTCTCACTTCAAATTTAGGATATCCACTCTGTGCTCACTTATGAGAAAACAGGTATTTAGATTTTGGTGTTTGTAGGTATTTTTAATTAATTGCACTGAAATGTCAGTATATTTCACAGTGTGTAAAACTTCACTAACCTTCTAACAAGGGTGGTTCATTTTCGTAATCTTCTTCTTGCCCTTTGTAAACTGGACCGGATGAATACGGTGCTTGAGAGAAAGGGAGATTAAGAGGTCGTGTTGGGGTCGGAATTGTATTTTCGTATGAAAACTGACTAAACTGCCTACAACAATACAATAAACAAAAGGTAAAAAAATAAAGTAGTGAATCCCTTTGAAAACACTTGAAAAAAGGCTTTGGGAAATAAATTACACGAATTCTTTTACATATACGCACGATAGAGGAATTGTAGAGATTAGCCAAAGAACTACAAACAATCAACAATAATATTGGATTGTACGGCCTTACGACTACTAATCAATCCCACTGTTTTTCAATGTCATGTTCTATTGGCTACTTGAAAAGCACATCGGACAACCCTAACTACCGCAAGTCACAAAAAAGCCAAGTCTATAGCTGTTTCTGCTTTTCATCGGACTAGATACTCAATCTTGAACCAATAGGGGAAAAACACTCTAATTCTGTCTAGTTTCCTGAAGTTCGTAATTGGTGGCGTGGCTTTAAGAGGCTGTCGGTGGTGGTTTATTGGCTTCCATCGTTTTTAGTGGGTGCAGAGTGGAGAGGAAGTGGAGAGCTATCAAGTCGAGGAGTTGCATCAGTGGAAGGAAGGCAAGATGATAGAGATGAAGGTGAAAACAAAGATGAGTGAGTAATAGAGAGGTTTCGCGTGCGTTTCGGATTGTGAGGTCGATTGTTACTTCCCGGCTGCCCACACCGTGGAAGTTGGTTGCGTGACCGCAGAGCCCAGGGGACAACTGCTTGAGGCCAGTCACACGCGGCCTGTTTTTGTTCGTTCTTTTTTGTTTGGTGTGCCTCAGTAGCATACTTATCACTCCTGCCCTGTGACACGGCAGCAGGAAGCGCGGTCGTTGTTAATCCGGGCCACGGCCGATCTGGCATGAAATTTTGTGATTTTGTATTTATCATGATGTTGGATTGGGTAGCTTCTTTTTGTTTAACCGCTATCCAAACAACCTGCCTGGCATGGTAGGACCTCAAGAGACATAAGTCTCAGCCAGTATAGCTTGAATACATCATTGCGGTGTTCAAGCCTGACCACCACGTCAAGGTAGCAGCTTTCGGTCGTAAAGTTAAGTAGTACTCTAGTGCTTTTAAAAAAATTCAGACGCATTGACGAATACTGTACGTAGGCGTCGAGTTCCCATGGGTAAACTTATGATTATGGCTACAAAACTACCTACGCTGTCCTTTAGTCTTGAGTACCATGATTTTATTTTGGCCGGCCTAATATGAAAAACGTAATCACAAGATTCAGATGTTTATGAAGCAAGTTTCGCCATTCTATTGCTACATAAAGTGATGGGGAAATTATTTTGTTTTCCTAATTACATCAAGATATGACTTTGGCATGATAATTATGTGAAACTCAAAGTATGACAGTCATTTGGGAAGTTGCACCAGTGGCAAATTCTCAGTGCAGCTACAGAAAGATCGCTTTGAAGTAATGAATCATGTTTGGAGCCTGCAAGATATCCAGCGGTATACAAAATGGGATAACTTAGTTATCGGGAACAGATTTTCCATATGGCAGATTATGAGCCGCACTTGTTTTGTGAAGGTTAATGACGATTCCCAGTTGTTTGGCTGGTGTGTGGTTGGATCCGGTTTCGAACCAAGTGACCGGTGGCTAAAGGTGATACGACATGACTATGAGCAAGTGTATGAGCGAAAAACGTAATCTAGTGAATAATACTGTATTTCTATATAATTTAGTAAATAAACAAGGCAACATGAAATTATGCTCTGACATGATGTCCAAGTTTTGTTCTTAAGTGATTACGCTGAAGTATTCAGTCCAAAACACAAAATCAGTCGATGAGATATTGCTTTGAACTATGTAGACAAGTGGAAATATTTTGACTGTAGTCCCCAAAATGTTAGAAATCGTCAAATGTGGGTTTTGTGAAATGGACAGAGGTCAATCACTATAACTGAGACGTGCTTAGTTTTCATCTTCTTCCAAATTCTGAGTCTTATCCATTTTGTTTTCTTCCATTTACACTACATCATTTTACTGCCACTTTTGTCCATTTTTATCTGCTGTTAGGGAATTTTGGTAGACTGAACTATTGCATTTAAGCACAATGAACAGTGTAATCCTCCATGCTCTTTAGCCACTGTAGGTATCTGTTCCACCAGGGATAGCATTATACAACTAAATGATAATTAACCCATTTAGATATTTTTTCACAGACTTACATTTCGGAAGGGTTATAATAGTTGCTTTGCTGTGGAGAATTCGGATGGTACATATTACTATATCCTTCGTAATTCATGATGTATGTGCTAAATTGAACCTGATTTTTCTTGGATTGTTGGTGTACACAGTTTCGATTATTCAGTAGACTATAAGATAAGTAAAGTTGACAACAATTAAGTGTACAGAAAACATTTACTCTTTTTTATTTCAACGCATCAAAAGTATAACATTTAGCTAGAATAGCAATAATAAGAGAATACTATCCTACAATCAAAATACTATGTGGCAAATTATTGAGAGGTAAGATATAAAAGTCAAGATATATTCAGAATACTGAAATAAACGGTTCAACAATGAATAAATGCTGATGGAAGCTTGTATTTAGAATAAAAGTTATGTTCACCTACTACAGTATAGTAGACGAGCAGGAAGAATTAGGTTGAAATGCTGATGAACATCGTGCAATTTACAAACCGAGCGATGCTGGGGACATCACTCGTACCTAATTCCCATGAAACTTCATGAACTCTCTACAACATCAACCAAATTCCAGTACTGGTCCAACAACGTCGCCTTCGGTGGTTTGGCCATGTTCTGCGCCGACCAGATGACGATCTGGACAAATCAGTTCTAAATCCCTCGCCATTTCCATCTTGGCGATGTCGCAGGGATGGACAGCTGAAAACATGGCTTGGTACAGTCAAGGCTGATATGGAGTGACTGGGGCTACAAGCCGTCTACAGACTCCGTCTGTGGAACAAGAATTGGATAACCCTGTCGCAAAACCTTACATCAGATCGCCGCGCCTGGGCAGCGATGATTCGAGATGTTCATGAAACCGGCTCATCCTCCCGTAGGAGATAGCCGAAGTAAAGTAATTTACAAACCGTTGGTATTAGATGGTTGGAAGCAATTGGCAGGAAGCCTTGGACCTAGATTTCGTGCTAGTTGGCACTCATCAGCAAGGCGTACCTGCAGCCTTGAAGGAACTCATGTCCCTTCTGAGATTCGAACCCGCGTCACCCACTGCTGCAGTCAGAGACGTCACCACTGAGCTATTTAGGCTCGCGATTGACCTCCTGTAGGACTGTACTGTATATATTTTTGATTGCACGCTAGTCGGTAACTAGTGTGCAATCAAAAAATTTACAAACCAAAGTGTATTCGATTTTCAACCCCTGATTCAAACCACCTGTAAAGGTCTGTGCATTAGATATTATTAGCATACCAAATTTATTTATGTACAAGTGATTAATCAGTATGCGTGAACCTGGTATACAACTAACTTTGGTGACTTCGAACGAGTAATTGAAACCGAATTTTATTATTACGCTTCTTTGGTTCATTTTATATTCTTCACCTACCAGTAACTTTCAAGGATAAGTACTGATCAACCATAGACTATGGATAAACAACAATATTTAACAAGTGCTATGAAGATAATAAGTAGTCGCATATTCGACGTGAAGTTGTGAAAAGAGATCTCTTTGCTGACTCATATGTTCTTGATCACATGAAAAGGGAAATTTTTTATACATAGTTACACAGTGATTAAAACCCTCAACTAACAAAGGCTGGATTTTTGAAGCAACTTTTTAGCATCCATAAGTGCAATAGTTTGCATAAACCTTTTTCTATGAACGAAATCATATAATAACTGTTAACTAACTAAGTTTCGGTGGTCACAAAATGCAATAGAAATGAAAACAGCATGTGTATTTGGTAAAGAACGGAAGTTTTAGCTCATTCGAGTTACTGCCAGCAAAACATATGCCGCGGATCAAGGACTTTCGAGAAGGGCCTAAAACCATAAGTGCAGCACTTCGAGAAACAGTTTGGCTAGTCTGCTGAGGCGGTATTCTAAACTTTAAAGCATAATTATTTGTGGTCGGCTAACACCTATGTGTCGAACGAAGTGTTGTGAGGCACTCAATTAAGACAGATTATCCTTGACTATAATAGATGGGGATAAAACATTAGTTAAGGAACTGAATAGATCGTCTGAGATGATATGAAATATGAAGTGTTCTATTACTCTAGAATGAGATGATTATTTATCTAACTTCAAGAAAAGTATATATTATGTGTGTAGCAGTCAACAAGGAATTAAGCAGAGGCCTGTCATATTAAAAACGCTGGGTGTTATCACATCTTTAAACCCTTGTCAAAAGCGTGAGGAACTCATTTGTGAAGAACAAGCTGGGTTTCTTTCAAGCTGTGTGTTGATTACATACTTATTTTCCGACAGCTGCCTGAAGTCAATACACTGACTGCGTATCATCTCGCTGAAAATATCTGTTGAAAGTTCATCAATATTTTGAAAGCCATATAAAAATTCTCAAGTAGCATCACAATGTTCCTCACCAACAGTGGGGGTGGAGAAGACTTAAATAATTTCATCTTCCCACTTGAACTCCGCAATCGAGAGTATTCTGGAAACGCTTGTGAAGGATATGTTTGGTGATTTTTCATCTGAAGTGTTGACAATAAATGGTGCCAATAAGGGGTTCCCACTGTCCTTATTCTTGTTTAATTCTATCACAGATGTACCAATGGAATCAACCTCAACTGAGTTTAGCGACTTAGAGATTGAGTTGTTACCAGGAAACAGCCTTGTAGACGTACAGTATTATTAATTTTATTCCGTTGCGTTCCGAAGGAAGAAGGGCTTTGAACTTAAAGTCTCAGTAGCGGTTGTGTTATTTTTTACGGGACGGGATTGCCAGCCGCACGCCAAATCTTCTCTCTTTACCAGACATATTGCCATCATATGATATTGTCCTCCTACGCAAAGACTGAATACATTGGACAGAAATCTTCGAGTGTTTACCGTACGACCCTCTGTTTTCAAATGTTAGCTGATGCCACAGGACTGAACTACACTGAATCCTAGCTGAAAGACAGGGAGTAGGGTGGTTGAGTGTGTTGCATCAATCCTAATGGACTGGTTGCTAACGTAATGTCAGAATGGATACAAAAAAAGGCTCGTATGGCATTTGCCAACTTAGATCATCTGTGGCGTAGTTATGATATCCATTTATTGATTGAGGGACATATGTACTGCACAGCAGTTCACTGTCCTTCCTTGTGGCTGAGACAGATTTTGAAAGAGAAATATATAATAAAGGTTGGCTGTCTCTAACCACAGATGTTTCAGTTTTGTGCCTGGTGCTAAGCAGTATAACATTGCCAGTAATATTGATGTTAGGTATAGAGTAGTAAGTAAAGAAGGGAGATCGATCGATAAGGTTGTGAGTCCACATCGATTGAGTTACCTAGGACATGTGCTCTTTATGTTATCACCACCTATCTCGACCAGCAACGTCAGCAGAGGCAAGATTAGGTTGGAAGTGGTCAAACGAAGATATGGTGTCAATCCATGAAGCTTCTGACAGCCAGTTTGAACCACATAGGGAGGTGAAGATTGCCCAATTAGGGATGAAAAGAACCAGTGGCTGGAGACAGTTTGTGGTATGGCTCGGAATCGTTCTCGGCAGTGCAGATACATTCGTTGTCTGTAATCAATCAGATCCACTAAATCCTTATGGTTTTCCATGTTAATACTGTTTCTCTACTACATTTCTGCTCAGTATAGTTCTCTTTAATTCCTTATTCTTTCTTATCTCTACCTTTGTACGCTACATGGAGTGTGGTGAATTACACTACTGTGTTGAAATTGCCACTCAGATGTTTGGTGATACTAGTTCTACGTGGATAACGACGATTTCATCTCAATATTTTGATATTGAAGCACTTCACTCCTTATTCTCAAACTGGGAGTTCGTGCAAACCAGTTCTATAGCATCATCCTACATTTGTCAGACATAATCAGAGTTTACTCAGGGTACTCATAGGACTACGTTTGTCACTCTCTATGACATAAAAGACGACATCTACGTATTCCGGATCAACACCACTTTACCGCAGTAGCAGTTAAAGCCTACTAGAATTACACCAATCAATACACTGGTAATGAAATTAAGTAATTAGTGACTCTTTACAAGCTACAAGCTGCGAGTCTGAGTGGTCTTCGTCAAAATACATAATTCCAGGAACTCCACTTAGTTAACGACTATCACAGCATCACTCAATTGAGGGAGTAAAATGACGCATCAGTTGAAAATGTAAGTCAGCGGTTAGCTCTGTCTGTCTGTCTGTTTTCGACATAGAACTTTGCACAAATGTGCGGAAGTTCAAGTCGCCACATTCCGTGTAGCACGCGAAGCAAGAGAAGAAAGTACAAGAAAAGCATAATAGAAACAGTGAGCAGAGGTGTGAGACAAAGGAGTAATAAAGAAAAACAAAACAGTTTCATTGGAAATCATAAGTCACAGGAGTGGATGCATCTGCGCCACTGAGAACGATTTTGAGCCATGTCACCAATTGTTTCCAACCATAGATTTTTACCGTCCCGAGGACCCCAGCCTGGAAGTCTACACCTTCCTACGTGGCTTAGACCAACTGTTGTGGATTTCATTGACTGATGCCAAGTTTTTGTTTGACCGCCGCTAGCTTTTTTCCAGCCTGACCCTATATCCGCTAACATTGCTCGTCGAGGGAGGCGATGGCTTGGCATACGTAACACATGTCCTAACCATCTCAGTCTTTGTAGCTTCACGACTTCGTCGATTGATTTCCCCTGTTTACCTAGAACTCTACGCCTAACCTCCATGTTGCTCACCTTATTATGCCACTTTACACGGGAAATAGAACGCAGGCACCTATGATCAAAGACAGCTAGTCTTTTCATGTCTTCCACTCTCAGTGGCCAGGTCTCACAACCATAAAGGAGGACGGAGCGGACTGATGAGCAGTACACCCGCCCTTTGGTCGATAGTCGAACATCTCGTCTACGCCAGAGTCGGCGTAAACTAACAAATGCGAAACGAGCCCCTTGTATTCGTGCTGAGATTTCGTCAGAGATCAGCCCGTTGGGGCTGATGGTACTTCCCAAATAAGTGAAGCGGTCAACGTGCTCTACCACTTCACTTCCTATTTTTAAACTAGGCGTCGATGTAGTCCAGTCCTGTAACATCATCTTGCATTTGGCGGGAGCGAATCGCATGCCAAACATTCGTAGATTGCGGCTCAAGGTGTTTAGAAGACTCTGCATTTCGTCAGCGTCTTCGCCTAGAAGGACTATATCGTCTGCATATTCCAAGTCAACGAGATTATTCCCGGTAGCAAGTCAATCCCTGAGTCGCTGAAGTCACCTAGGGTTAAGTCCATTAACACATCTATGATGAAGTTGAATAGAAAAGGAGATAATGGGCATCCTTGACGGACACCACTGGTCGTCATCAGTTCAGATGACAGCTCGCCGTAAGCCCTCACCTGGCTGTATGAGTACGAGTAGAGTGCCTTAATCAGTGCAATATATTTTCTCGGAATTCCCTTTACAGCCAAGCATCTCCAGAGAACTTCCCGATCGACAGAGTCGAATGCTGCCTTTAGGTCAAGAAATATAATGACTGTTGGACGCCGGTAGGAATGCCTATGTTCTAGAATCTGTCGGAGGGTGAAGATATGATCAATACACCCTCTTCCTGGTCTAAAGCCTGCCTGGCTCTCTCGTGTTTGTGCTTCCCGAGCACCACTCAGTCTACGCATGATTATTGAGCCTAAGACTTTAGATACTATATTAGTCAAGCTAATCCCTCTGTGATTATCACAGGAAGACTTGTCTCCCTTCTTGTATATGGGGATAATCAGTGACTTACACCAACCCGATGGGACTTCTTCTGATTCCCAGACGCTGCCTAGTACCTCAGTTAATCCGGACAGTAAGCTGTCTCCACCGTACTTAAATACCTCTGGAGTCATTCCATCAGGTCCCGCTGCTTTGCCTAGTTTCAGATTGGTGACAGCTTTAGTAACCTCAGTTAGTGACGGAGGACCTGTGTCTATATCCCATTCAGGGAGGTGTTGGATGCTCGGAAGGTTGAGCGTGGCTGTGGGCAAATTAAACTGCTCCTCATAATGCTCTTTCCAACGATCCAGTCGTCTATCCTGGGAGCTAATTATAGTGCCATTTTTTTCCGAGATTGTCTCACTAATGATTTGTCTTCTCCCACCCGTTTCCCTGATGAGTCCAAAGAGTTGCCTGGTGTTGCCTATCCTCGAAGCTTTCTCCATCTCTTTGGCTTTTGTCGCCCACCACTGTTCACGGTCCTTGCGGAGACTTTTCGTAAGTTTCCTCTTGTGCAGCTTTCGCTCCTCATTGAATTCGGAGCTCGCCGGAATAAGTCTTCTAGCATCTATCAGTTCGGATGAGGCGGTGGAGATCCAGTGGTTTTTACTCACCTTTGGGTTTACCTTATTCACAGCTTTTACAGCTGTATCTATGGCTGCCTGGATATTTTTCCAAGCTTCTTCAGGGTGAGCACAGCTGTCGAACACAGATATGTGTTTAGCTAGTTCTTCCTCAAATACGGATTTAGTTTCCTGATCGAGCTGGGGACGTGATGGTTTTACCGCCAGCTGTTTCCTACGTCCGTTCAGTCGTAAGCACACCCGAGCGCGGACCAGTGCATGGTCGGTATCTACGCACGTGTTCCAGAAGGAGCGACAATCTCCTACCGACCCACGCCAACGATAGCTTATTGCTATGTGGTCTATTTGTGTCCAGCGTTGGTTTGATGAAGGGGGTCTCCAAGTCAAACAGTGTCTCTCCTTGTGTTTGAAGTTAGTGCTTACAAGAAACAAATGATTATCAGAGCAGAACTGTAGGAGACGGTCACCGTTGTCGGTTCGCTGGCACGGAGCTCCATAGGTGCCACCGACATCCTTCTCAGATTGACACAATTTCCCTACTTGAGCGTTAAAGTCACCAGCTAGAACGACTATGTCTGAGCGTTTAGCCTTTCGCACCAAACTAGACAGCTTTTGGTAGAACTCATCCTTCGTTTCATCTGAACTGCAGTCAGTGGGGGCGTAGGCGGAGATTACGAAAAGGCATCGGCGAGTAGTGCAGTCCTTCCTCCTTCTTACTGATCCGTTCAGGCGGACAGCACACATTCGGCTATCTACCGGGATCCAGTCAAGCAATGTCTTTTCTGCCCTAGTACTCAAAGCTATCCCTACGCCAGCTAATCCTCGTGAACTAGCTGTGGCATCTCCTGACACCCTCAAGGTGAATTTTGCAGATTCAACCTGTTGGCCAGGTGGGGTTAGGTGAATAACCACACTTGGGTCTTGTATGCGTGTTTCTGAAACACAGCATACATCAATGGCTCGTGATGCCAGGGTCTTGGCTAGTGATGCTTGTTGTCCTATTTGGCAAAGTGTCCTAACATTAAGAGCTCCTATATGAAATTGGTGGCGCGGCTTTAAGAGGCTGTCGGTGGTGGTTTTTTGGCTTCCATCGTTTTTAGTGGACGCAGAGTGGAGAGGAAGTGGAGAGCTATCAAGTCGAGGAGTTGCATCAGTGGAAGGAAGGCAAGATGATAGAGATGAAGATGAAGACAAAGATGAGTGAGTAATAGAGAGGTTTCGTGTGCATTTCGGATTGTGAGGGCGATTGTTACTTCCCGGCTGCCCACACCGTGGAAGTTGGTTGCGTGACCGCAGAGCCCAGGGGACAACTGCTTGAGGCCGGTCACACGCGGCCTGTTTTTGTTCGTTCTTTTTTGTTTGGTGTGTCTCAGTAGCATATTTATCACTCCTGCCCTGTGACACGGCAGCAGGAAGCGCGGTCGTTGTTAATCCGGGCCACGGCCGATCCGGCATGAAATTTTGTGATTTTGTATTGGACATGATGTTGGATTGGGTAGCTGCTTTTTGTTTAACCGCTATCCAAACAACCTGCCTGGCATGGTAGACCTCAAGAGACATAAGTCTCAGCCAGTATAGCTTGAATACATCATTGCGGTGTTCAAGCCTGACCACCACGTCAAGGTAGCAGCTTTCGGTCGGGGTCAGCGGTTAGCATGAACATTTCAGTCTACTGAAAAGTAAATATTTGTCCAATGCACGCTGACTAAGAATTACTATAAATGATTACCCCTGCCATACTCAGATGCACCTCCAAAAACGAGCTCGTTCTATCGTAAAAACCCTGACACATAAGATTATCATGAATATTTGATGCTTACTGATATTGTTTACATGCGCCGACTAGTGTATAACTGAAGTCTATGCAGGTAGTCTGTAAGAGACGAAAACCTCCTACCGACCTCTATCAATAAGTAGTTCTGCAAAAAGGGTTGATATATGCATTTGCTAGGTAAGACTGTCTTTATTTTGGAACTTAGCGCTGGCCGGCAACAGACTACTGCCTAAACAAAACTACAAGATGTGATTACCGATTCTTATTGGGAAACCATAGATACCCCCAACATGTATGGTTTATATGTCTTGCTTGAGCAATGAATTCTCCCGTTAGAAACCATACCTGAGCCCCAAGCAAGTGCAGTGATGAACTGTTACCCTCAGGGTGCATTAAGCAGCAGGAACTTTTGGGGGGATCTAATATTTGAGTGGGTTTTGTGTCGAACCTTGGACATATGTTCAAGTTTTCCAGAGGCAAATTAATATTCAGAAACTATTCAAGGGACTTAACAAATTTTTCTGACACTTATACTCTGTATAAAAAATAAGATTAGCACGGAGTCTTTCCTTTAGTGCTACAAAAAGCGAAAATAAAATATTCTGCGTCATCTGAATGTTATGGTATTATACTGCTACAACACAATTTAACGCTAATTATAATTAAAATTTTGACTTAAACTGAGGCTTTTGGCAACGGATGTCAGATAAAGAACTTACTTGTTCTACTCTGACGAACTTTTCTACCTTATCGTTCTTTCCTGACACGCGATTAGTAATCTTATTAATGCCTTACCACGTCTAGGTCAAAGGTCCAATTTATCGTGATTTAGACTAACAAATTTTGATGAAACGTTTTGCAAACTAAAAGACTCCCTGCTATTGTTATCTGGCTACTAAGTAGATTTTCACTCATTTATTATCTCCATATCCGCATAAAACACCTCTGATTTATTCTAATAAATATCCTCTAATGTCCGATATACATGTCCCGAACTTCTCGAAAATCAAGGCAAAACTATATTTTGATCCTTCAAATTCTGAAATAACTTTCAGGAGCATAAATTAAGAGTAGTGATGTACGATTACCCAACCAGAGATTGTGAACGTACTTTAGATGAATAATCTTGTGAAAAATTTACCCAGCACAATCTGTTTACTGTTTTGCTACTTATGTGGATATTTCATCAAACTTTATAAGTGTTCCCTCTTCTTTTGAGGTGTGTATCACTGTTCTGAAGTTCGCATATCAACTGTTGACTAATTCATATCTTTCGTCTTTGTCCTTGTTTAATCCATAACTTAAATATTTCTCTTTGTGGTTGTGAAATGGTGCTCATAATGCGTCATTTTACGATTGTGAATTTGTCTGAAGGAAGTCAAGATTACCCATAGGGATTTGGACGTTTGGGTGCTTGACAGAACTGTTTGGTGTGTGATTCTTCCTGACAGAGATAATAATATATTCTCATTTTGTACATGAGGAACGCCAGTTCACAGGCATCATCAATGTGTTAAATTACACATACGATTAGCAATCATACTTAATAACAATGTTTTAATAAAATACATATTTTTTCCTACCTGTGTAGGACACACCAAATGTACAGGCATGGATAAGCATTATTTAAATTTCATAAATTTGGTTTCTGGTTGAATTACATGGTTGCTGACGTTTTTGTCTTTGGTTTGTGGGGACAATATGATAACCAGTCATTCAATGGAGCACATCATAAAATATAGGAATATTGACTTCGCATTAACAAAAAAACCCAAGTATGTTTTGGATGGATTAAAAATACTTGGGAAAAAATAAAGCTTGAAGTAATTCCACAATATAACTTAGGTGTGTACAAATCCGAATCTCATTTTTGATTTATATCCAAATTGGGTAATAAGAAAGCTATTTTTACAGATACGATCAGTTATGTTATAAGTTACAATCGTGAAGCTGTATTACAAATTAATACTTTTCCATTGGTATAAGAGTATATTCCACAAATGTAATCCAGGTTGCGTCGTGGGGAAAGTTAATTCGTTATTAACTAGGCAACTGAAAGATATGGGACCAATAATGTTTGCAGATCATTTGTCATTGTAAATGGTCAAACATCCACATTATTCATTCTCATACAAAAAGTCAAATGGAAGCTAAAATGGTGAGAGAAAAACGAAGACAAACAACGGCAAAGCAAAAGAAAGCAACAGGAGTCCTTAAGGAGTGATTTATTAATATATAAATATATATTCTGTCTAGTAACTGCTTATTTTTGTGCACTAACTAACTAGTCCCGTTATGCTATTTTTTATATTATGTGTGAAATAATATAACTGTCCTGTGTAGAAGGAAGTCAAGATTACCCATAGGGGTTTGGACCTTTGGGTGATTAACAGAACTGCTTCGTGTGTGATTCTTGTTGACAGAGGTATAGCCATATATTGTCGGGTATATTTTTGATTCTCAGGTACTCCTTACGGTTAGTGTTTACATAAGTAATTTTTTTGGACAATACTCGCTTTGCAATCAAGAGTCTCTTGACCTTTGTGGCTGCCTAGCTGCTTTGTTGAGGTAATTTTGCGTTTTTGTTATTGTAATTGTTGAGTAGTACAGCAGATTTTACCTCGAATAACTGTCTTTTCGTCACTGCCGGGAAAGGTTGGGTCTATTTGGAAACAGGGATGTTTTGTTTAGCAACACAGTGGAACGCAAGGTTTCGTTTCTTGTGTTCAGATATGAACCAGTCGTTCGAACATCCGAACGTAACACGACGGTGGATCAAATTGCTCTGAATGCTTCGCACACACCTTTATTCTCACCAGTCAACTTTAGTTGTCACAGTCACCATCCAGTGCTGAATAATGAACGCTATAGACAATACGTTGTGGAGCATTTTGTTAACAACGGTTTGGAACGTTTGTTTTCCTAAGCACTTCAGCATTCCACGCCTCAGTGATTCGTTTAGATTGTTTGACTGAGTCGCTGACGGAGAATACAGTTGTATCCGCTAAATTTAGTGTCATATCGTAGATATAAATTAGCTAGGTAGCAGTGATTTTTACGCTGAAACACTAGTCACCACAGCTTGGTCAGCAGCCATTTCTGTTCTTTTTATACCACGCAGAGTAACGGTGTCCTTGGACTATTCGATGATTTACCGTACCATAAACTGAAGTGCCAACAAACCCTCCGATGAATAACTCCTGCATTCATGTAACACTTGCACCAGAATCAATTTTGTGTATTCTGACTGATTATTCAACATTGTGGTTATTTTTCGCTGTATTAGGGAATGTTTCCTTTTAGGCATGTTTCTGCGAAACAAGAGGTTTGTCACCCCACGTTTATTTGCACACTTTCGAATCATATTTAATGCTTACATATAATACCAAGTTTTCACTATTGCCCTCTAACGTAGCGTTGGCGCATATGAGTAAGTGTTCAACTCCATGTACGTTAACGGTGGATGGATATTTTGTGAGACCGTTAATTACGTCTACGAAAGCAAGACTTCAAGAAACGTAATACTGATTTCAGATTTATTTTATATTGTGCCATGTTAATGAAGTTGAAGATTGAACGATCAATTCATGGTTGTTTCTCAAACCCAACCCCTCCATATTTTTCGCGGGAGTCATCAATCCAGAAGTCATCCTCTCATCGTTCGCTGTTCAGTGGAAGACAGAAAACTATCAGAAGTATTATCGTGATTTATTGTTATAACATTTATTCTTAGACCCTGTGTAAAATAACCTTATTGTTGATTGCATATTGGCGTAAGAATAAAGGACTCTTGAGTCGCCAGTCTGTGTTCTGGTTTTTCGCGTCGGTTATTGCCAATTGTTTCTGAAAGTCTTCCAGGGACAGCGTGAGTTCCAGTATGAAAGCACCTTGAGATTGACATGAATTTTAAAGATTTATGGTAGTGGTTGAATAGAAACAAGCAATATCATAAATTGCCTCATCATATCCTCTAAAAATTTTAAAGTGACCGCTGATCTTAGCAACTTAATAATTTTCAAGCTATTTCATAAAACAACAGGCCGGCATGGACACAGAAGTGATCCCATCGGAGTGTCTTCTTTCTGTTTAGAAATCTCATTATTGAAGTTGAACTGAACAGTCAGGGTGCATCTCGGTAATGTAGTTTGATGCAGATCGTCGGCAAATCTATTCCTAAATTTTTGTATCAAAATAATCCTATGCAGAGCAAATAGCTTCCATAACAGTTACATTAGCAAATATGAACTCACGTCGAATGAGCACACGAGATTGTATGAGATATTAAAATCTTTAATATCCCTGTCAGCCAACTCTCAGTAACTGTCAATCTCCAGCTCTCACTACGCTGGACTTCACATTGTCCCTGGAAGACTTTCAGAAACAATTGGCAATAACCGACGCGAAAAACCAGAACACAGACTGGCGACTCAAGAGTCCTTTATTCTTACGCCAATATGCAATCAACAATAAGGTTATTTTACACAGGGTCTAAGAATAAATGTTATAACAATAAATCACGATAATACTTCTGATAGTTTTCTGTCTTCCACTGAACAGCGAACGATGAGAGGATGACTTCTGGATTGATGACTCCCGCGAAAAATATGGAGGGGTTGGGTTTGAGAAACAACCATGAATTGATCGTTCAATCTTCAACTTCATTAACATGGCACAATATAAAATAAATCTGAAATCAGTATTACGTTTCTTGAAGTCTTGCTTTCGTAGACGTAATTAACGGTCTCACAAAATATCCATCCACCGTTAACGTACATGGAGTTGAACACTTACTCATATGCGCCAACGCTACGTTAGAGGGCAATAGTGAAAACTTGGTATTATATATAAGCATTAAATATGATTCGAAAGTGTGCAAATAAACGTGGGGTGACAAACCTCTTGTTTCGCAGAAACATGCCTAAAAGGAAACATTCCCTAATACAGCGAAAAATAACCACAATGTTGAATAATCAGTCAGAATACACAAAATTGATTCTGGTGCAAGTGTTACATGAATGCAGGAGTTATTCATCGGCGGGTTTGTTGGCACTTCAGTTTATGGTACGGTAAATCATCGAATAGTCCAAGGACACCGTTACTCTGCGTGGTATAAAAAGAACAGAAATGGCTGCTGACCAAGCTGTGGTGACTAGTGTTTCAGCGTAAAAATCACTGCTACCTAGCTAATTTATATCTACGATATGACACTAAATTTAGCGGATACAACTGTATTCTCCGTCAGCGACTCAGTCAAACAATCTAAACGAATCACTGAGGCGTGGAATGCTGAAGTGCTTAGGAAAACAAACGTTCCAAACCGTTGTTAACAAAATGCTCCACAACGTATTGTCTATAGCGTTCATTATTCAGCACTGGATGGTGACTGTGACAACTAAAGTTGACTGGTGAGAATAAAGGTGTGTGCGAAGCATTCAGAGCAATTTGATCCACCGTCGTGTTACGTTCGGATGTTCGAACGACTGGTTCATATCTGAACACAAGAAACGAAACCTTGCGTTCCACTGTGTTGCTAAACAAAACATCCCTGTTTCCAAATAGACCCAACCTTTCCCGGCAGTGACGAAAAGACAGTTATTCGAGGTAAAATCTGCTGTACTACTCAACAATTACAATAACAAAAACGCAAAATTACCTCAACAAAGCAGCTAGGCAGCCACAAAGGTCAAGAGACTCTTGATTGCAAAGCGAGTATTGTCCAAAAAAATTACTTATGTAAACACTAACCGTAAGGAGTACCTGAGAATCAAAAATATACCGAACAAATTATGGCGGTACTTTGGAAATTGGTGACATTCTTGCA